GAATCTCTTTCCATAAAAGAAGGAAACGGCATGAAACAAAGTCTATGCTATCAGATAGCTCTGAAAGCGAAGAGCCAGCCACAGAAAGCCTGGCGTTCAAGAGAAGGAAGAAGGAATATACCGAACGAAACCCAGATCTCGAGTATTCATATCCGGGCGATGACGTGTTCATTTTTAAGGATGATTTAGACACTTTCATGAGTCAACTGAAGGATTGGAATGAACGGCTGGAGAAGTATGATAATGGACGATTCCAACTTCCAGCCGACTTTTTCCGGTCCCACATCGAACCCTTGAAACAGCACAAATATGATAAACTCCATGAATTGGAAAAACAAATTGAAGAAGTCATTGCAGACCACTTGAAGAAGGTTGACAGAGAAGCCGAACGCCTCAAGGCACTTTCTATCAAAATAATCATATCAAATATCGAGCAGGCGTGGAAGTGTAAGCGCTTTATCCAAAAGTAGTCATGAAAATTGTTCTTATCGGGTATAGCTTTCCTTGAAGCCATCTACCGGCCAATGGCGCCTTCCAAATTTGCCAAGTCAGCCGGATGGTTTACAGTACAGCATGGACCAGCTGCCATCAACTGCTTGCGACCACCTGAATGCTCTAGGATTCCTATTGCACTTTTACACTCTGCTTTTACCAAATTCATATATACCGTCAATCAGCCTATGCCTTTCAAAACCGAGTTCACGGACGCCTATAAAGCTGCCTGGGAGTTATGCCTGACCATGCCTGGCCTTTTCAAAGACAAGAAACAACGTAAAAGTAGCCTCAACAAGACCATTAACTCCCTTTTAGAAGGGGAGTTTCCTGGGTTTACGCAAAAACGGCTTGGTAATGCAGACCCTGATGGCTTATTGCTTGCCCCCGATGGCTCAGTTAACTGTATCATGGAGATAAAAAATGAGCCCGGCTCTGCGGGGGATGTCTACATGCAATCATCGTGTTCCTATGACGCAATTGCAAGGCACGCCCCCACGGGCGGAAAACCAGGTTACCCTTGTTTGATACTATGTATTGATGGTCGGATACCGGCTCCTTCATTATAAATTGCTGACCATGTTCTTATATAGGCCCCAGCATATTATTTTGCGGTGGCTACAGGGACGGGATTTATAGTGTGGTTGAACCACTTTCCCGTTGGTGCTCGATGCTACCGGATCAATTTGGAGAAAGGCAAGAAGTCCTGGCAAAGCATCTCTATGCTTTCAAGCTCTCATTACGTTCTCTGTTCAATGATTCGTAAGTACATCACCGAACTACAAATCCATTGACTCAATCTCCCGAGACCCTTGTTAGGAACTACCGAAAATTGCCCAAGAATATATACTCAACTCCAAACATTCGAAGGGCATACACTGTCCCTTGAGTTTATATCGCCGTATAAACCTACTGGGTCCCATTGTGACCTTATGTTCAGGGCAAAATATCGAGGATCGGAGAGTGAAGTCCTAGTCAAGATCGTTAGGGGCCCATATGGAGTAGACGCGCATCGATTTGCGGCCGAGAACGGATTTGCGCCAAGATTGTATGGTGTGGCGAATGTAGACGGTGCCCCACCGGCTTATATCATGGAATTTCTTTCCGAAGACCAAGGGTGGTTACCACTCCAAAAAGCCTTTTTCCACATCAAACGTGAAGAAGATTGGGGAGAGCTGGCCAGTAAGGCTCGGGAATTTCTCTTTTGCATGAAGAATCAACAACTGGTGCATGGAGACCTTCGTGCAAACAATACGCTCTTCCGTTTGGGCGATAATGGTATCGATCTCCGAGTTCTTGACTGGGATTGGTCCGGGACGGCAGCAACAGTCAGGTATCCAATGGACCGCAACCCGCAAGCTGGACTACTAGGAACTCCTGGTGGATTCATTCATAGCAATCACGACGCAGAGGCTCTTTCTGAACAGTTAAAGCAAGTGGCGCAGCCGCCTATTCGCTCGTAATTTATGACCTGCTCTTTTCCCTTTTTCTTGCCAGTCTTGTAAGTAATAGTGTATTCTAGGGCTCTGCCTACTCGACGAAGAACATGGTCTCTCAATTGAATCAGTACTAATCCACTAAAATCTAAGCGCGACCTTTACTTGAGATGTTATAGGTGTCTAACTTGTCTGATTATAGACCTTGTATTACGAATTATCTCAATCCCAACGCCACTTTGACGACAAAGA